TATATATATATATATATATATAAAGTACTAGTGCAGAGGAAAAGGTGAGAGATACAATCTCATATGCTATCCAAGCAAAAATCAAGGCATATCACTTTGTGTATTTATATATAGATTCAAAACCTAACATTGATTCTTTTCATCAATATTTTATAGTTCTGTTTCATTTATACGAAGATGTTGGACAAGGAACGACTTTTCACTCATAACGAAGGTACCGCTTGAACTTGTTGTTTTAAGTATATTGTTATATTTATGCGGCTATAAAAATATATTATTAAGTGTAAAATAAAAATTAATTTAAAATTTAAAGGATTTAAAATGCAGAAAAGTATCGTTCTTTTAATATCTTCTATAGCTTTGTTTGTGTAAGAGTTCTCGTATGTTTTATTGCCAACAGGTAGCTTATGAAGTTTTTTTTATCATTAGACGAGTCTTGTAGCTAGTCATAGACCAGCCAAGGAAATGCAACTTTGAAAATTCTCAACCAAATACGTATAATTTCATAGCATTTCATAATTAAGCTACAAATTTTCATATAAGATGAGCTATATGTATATTCCCATGAAGCGACAATCATTATATAATTGTAGCAGAGAAGCAAACCATGACTTATAGCTTGTTCATAACATTATTAAGCTGCTTAATAATACATCAGTAATTAAGTAATTCCCTAATTAAGGAGGACATGCTTGTTTAGCTGCTGCAGCCATTTGCTCCCTTCGAATTCCAGCATTGCACAAGTTAGCAAAGCCACGAACGTGTTTCCTTCCGTAGGGAGTTAACGTTCCACATTGTGACTCAAATATCTTGACCTGTACACAAATATCAAACTATAGTCATATATACTCAATATTACACAAACAATTAATAACTGTAATATTGTGGGAATTTATCGTAAATTGACTAATTAAGTTCTTGCTTGATGTCTAGTGAACTAATTATCATGACGAGTTGTTCGATTAAGTTATCATAAATCCTGACAGCTTAGATTTGTTAAATATTTTAGTGCTTACAAAGGATTTAAGGCAGTCCCAATCATCAACAAGGGGTTGTCCAGCAGGTCGAACAGTGTTCAGCAACTTGTGACTTTTCTCAACTCCAAACAGAACTTCTCCAATATGTCTCACACTGTTATCTACATCTTCTCTCTGTGATAAGGCTTCACTTAGTTGCCGATGAGCTTCAGCTTTTCTAGCAGAGCCTTCAGGCGCAGACCGGAACTGTCATCATTGGACAAAGTATTGGGAAGTTAATTATATTGCAAGCCTTTAATTGGATAGCAAAATTAGTATGTAGATATATTGGAAATTTAACTAAAATGTGAACAGAGACAACACGTTTCAGTTCATAGAAAGTAGGAGTAAAAGCTGAACAGTAACATGGTATTGACGTATTGTCATAGAAAACAAAAAAGTGAGCATACTGTCTACAGTAAACAAAAATTCAGAAAAATCCCCCCCAACTATTAGCACAATTTAATCGCCTATTCTATCCTTAATTTGACGAAAAATTGTGAAAAATATGAACTACGTAATATAATAAATAGTAACAAACAAAAAAATGGGTCATACTACCTTTAAAATATTATACAACATATTATACTAGCAATATATACTGGAAAAGGTTTAACATATACTTGTGGTCAACCTGTCCTATTTTTCTTCAGCTTACTAATCTCATTTTCTATGGATATTTATTTTACAAAAATAATTCTTGTCCACTATAGTATATAGAAAGTTATATAAACTCGTGCAGAAATATACCTTAGACCATAAATGCATGAGATGAACATCGCGCTGGTTAACAGTCCTTGAGGGTAGCCATGACTCGTCGTTGTTAGAAGTATTATAACTATTTTTTGCAGAATTAGAACCCATATATCTGAAAAGAGGATCCTCACTAATATGTAAATCACCATATTGCATGACATGGGAGCCTTCTTCTGTACCATTGTTTAGAGTTCTCTTACGAACCTGAGAATGATAAAAACCATCCAACGAGGTTTATTAGGAAAGTTGTCGTGAAACTAGTCAATGAAGAAAACATTTATAATTTAAAAGAATTAATTGACAACTACTATATGATATTTGAATCTTTGCAAAATGAAATGTGACAATATTTTTGAATGATGTAATAATTGATAGTGGTAATATTTTATTTGGAAATTCTGTTCATCTATTATTACTACATTGCTTAAATAAAACGTTTATATATACGCATAGAATACAATGTTGTTTATCTTACCAGCTGATACTGCTTCTCCAAAGTTTCAACTTGCCGATCGTGCAAATCACTGGTCATTAGTAGAACAAGTGCAGTTAATTAGTTTCACAAACATTAAGAAGGATGCTTGAAAAGCCATCATTTAAATTTCATAACCATATATTTTTGGAATTCTTGTAAACTTGCAACCTTGGTCCCAATAATAGACCTTGAGATATCTCTTTATTCGGATTGAAGAAATCAAAAACTAGGAGTCAATTATTCGAGCTTTTTTCGGGGAACAATAATTAATAAGTATAACACATTTTGGTTGTGCCATTCCCTTTTTTCTCTTGGTTATTAATAGAATTTCCTCATGCCTATTCAATGCACCTTTTTTTACTTATTCAATTTACATACATCAATTAATGCTTTGTTGAAATAAAACTTAAAAATTTAGAAAGTCTATAGCCATGGTGAGAATATTGGAAGTTTCACATTTTCACCAGACTTAAGCATATGATGAAGATTATACATTTCATAGTCTAATATGGCACTCCTATGTGTTTCCATTTTTCGCCAAAGTGGTAGAATTATATTGAAATAATTAAGAACAAGCTAATTAACATACCTATCCTCCAACCAAGAAACACTGTACAAGTCTCCTAAGCATTGATCTTCATCACCTAAACGAATACAGTAGGTAGCCCAACTGCTCTCATCAGGCTTTGATGCTGCTGTTACGTATATGTTTAAACCTTTCGGGAGTAAACCATCAAACATACTTCCAGATTCACAAGCTTCCATGTAAAATACCTAATTAAACATCCCCATCCACTTAATAATCACGAACACAAAGTTATATACATGTGAGATCTAGCTTAGTTTCGTTTTTACCAGGTTACCATTACATGCTTGTTGTAGAGATTACGTATAATTACCTTATATAAATAACTCAATTGCATAGATATGAATATATGAAACAGGGCCAGGATGTTACCAATTTTGAATATGTTCCAAAAGTGTGTTTTTTAATCAGGACTCTGTTCAGATCGTCGGCATAGACAACATCTCCACTAGGCATACCTAAGGATATATATAACAAATGAATGAAAAGTATTCATATACGTATATATCATAATTAATCAGTATTATTTAAGTTCTTAAGAAATATATAATGGTAACTAAAGGTGAATGAAACTGAAGCATCGTAAGACAAACCAATAAGGCCAGGAGCACCATGATCAGCGTAGTAGATAAAGATATAATCATTTGGACCATTTTCCACAACCTTCCCACTGCCCCCAGTGAGAGCACTCTTATTTCCAAGGATAACAGCGAAAAAATTGTCAGCATTACAATCTTTTCCTGTGTAATCCTATCTCACAGACAAAAATAAAAACGAAAAAAATATAAAGAAACATTAGATATAAGTAATAATATCTTGACAAATATTACACACACGCAAAAAGAGTACGTACCTTGGGTACTCCTTTATAAACATCATGGCCGTGGGGGCTATTGATGATAATTCCAGGTCTGGGGTTGTTTTTATTATAAGCAATATCGTCGTACATGAATACGATGATGTTTTCATCTTTTAGACCTCCTTTCTTCAGTAGTTGATATGCATGACATACATCCGCCTGAAATAAGAAATTAATTTGAAAGTCATTAGGCGTCATGTACTAATTGTTAATGTGATTAATGGAGTAACAAAATATTAAATTTCTAAGGAAAAGAATTGTAAATATGACCTGGTGTCTGTAATTATCCCACTCATTTGATCCAGCTACCAACACAGCCCATTTAGTTCCAGTCGGATTATCATCTTCAACAATACTCTCCAGCAAGTTACGACCCTCAGCAGTACAAACTAGGACAAAAAGTGCAACTAGGAATGGCACAACACCATTTTTTCGAATCATTTTTCACACGCTAAAAATAATTACTTGGAGTACTTTACTTTGATTAGTGAGTTGATGTGAGAAATTAATTTATAGAGCTTTTTAACCTACTAATTGTCTCATTCTACGTGTGGACATAGACCCCGTAGTTCCTCATGAATTGACGAAGAGTTTGTTAAATTTTTCTATATTTGTTTTTTTCTTGAGAAGTATTGCTACCCTGTGGGGTTAGTCTAATCTAATAATAACCATTCATCAAACATAGCAAAGATAGTTGTTAGAATAAAGAACATTAAAAACAATTCTTACTCTTTTTGAGAGAAACTACCTACTTATTTGAGAAAACGACATTACATGTGAGACTATGTAATTGTGTATACATAAGTTTGAGTAAAACCATCGTGCTTCCTATATTGTATTACTAATTCTCATTTTCGTCTCCTTTTCTGTTAGAAATTTTTTGAAACCATTTAAATGCGCAAATTGATGACCATACGGCAATTACTAATCCTTAAATTCAGTGTAATTAGTTAGAGAATAATGGAGTAATAAAATCACTAAGTTTGGACTATGGCTATCGACTTCCAAAATAATTTTACGACTTGCTGTCGGAACTTATTAAAATAATTATTAGTTTATTTATTTAACTAATTTTCGACGGCAAGTAAATTTAGTAAATCCATTTATACAAGTGGATAGGAACATGAAATGCAATGCCTCTAGTTATAGGCATATACATTGGCGAACTCTGGAGAAGAGCAATCCCCATTATGGCGTATGGAGATCATACGTAGTAGAATTATGGCCATTATGAATATTTCTATCGGAATAAGGAATGCAAATGTACATTTACAATATTCATAACAAAGCTCCTATATTTTTGTAAAAAAGAATTTTATACTACTTAAGAGCAAAAAGGCATCACATTTAGTTGGAAGATTGGGTAAGGAAAACACAATAATATTCTGCACTAAAAGGAATCAATTGCAAATAAAACCCTAAATAGTATCGTTGTTATGTGAACTGATGTCAACTTGCACGCATGAGATCTACAACAGATCACTCAAACTTTAATCTTGTCTAACAAGAGAACCTAAGATTTCTTGCTCCCTTATGTCACTAACGGATTGTGTGCAGTGCATTATTCATTCATTAAAAAAATATAAAGATGTCAAGAGAAAGTACCGCTGAAAATTGTTACAGAACAGACTCCATGCATAAATGGATAAAAAGACAACAAAACCACAAATATTATAAATTAATAATAAAAAATGAAACTTGCTCTCTACAAAATTTCATAGGGTAAATTTGAAGTTACAACACCCGTTTAATATAAAGAAGTATTGAAAAGTGTATATAACGTTTTCGTATTGTTTACCCGAAAAATGGATAGAGTTGAATTTGTACGTAGTTCTAAGGGTACGTGGTATAACTTAGCACAAATCGTAAAAGTAAGTTGGAATATCGAATATTGACTAAAAAGAATGAAATACAAATAGAGTTGAATGGAGGATGATTTATGGATAAGCAAGATGACTCAATATATAAAGCTCAAAAAGGATAATCTCTCAATATGGGAGTGTCTCCACAGTATCTGAGTTATGGTGTATCAATGTCTTAATAGTTGGCTCCCCTACAGAAATAATAGTCATCCCTCTTATAGTTGAGGGATCCTATTTTGGATATAATTAAAAATACATAGTGGAAAACCCATGATTGATTAGTTTTTCCCTAATTCCCGCCGAGATTCTCTCCCTTAGTGCGGTTGTAACGGCTCTTGTCCCTTAGCTCGATCTTGATCGGACTTGATATCGATCGATCTCCAAATTTAGAGCTCGTTATTGACTCGAGCTCAATTTTGACTCGGGGCCCGGTATTGACTCGGGCTCAGTGTTGGTCGGTCTTTGGATCTTAAGCTCGATAACGTCGCTTCGCATCATAGTTCGATTTGGACTCGAGCTCGATAATGACTTCAAGCTCGGTATTTGATCGGTCCCTGAAACTCGAAACTCGGTAACCTGCTTCGGATCTCATCTCAATATTATGAAGACGCTCTTCAGTCCATTATATTCCCATCTTGACCAGTCGTACGAAGGTCGAAATTAGTTTTGACCGTATACAGATAGTCCCCTCGTTTCTCGGGAAGGATGTGGCGAGAAACGACATGATTTTCCAATGGCACTATCAGATATACACTGACGTTTGCATCGAGCTCGACCATGACATACGTGATAGTTGTCCCGTCAGTTCAGTTTACCAAGCTATTAAATGTGTGTCAGACGATGGTCGACCACTGCTGATATTGAACCGTCATTGCCCAATCTATAAATAGCCCCTATTTTTACCATTTATCACTTTTACATCTCCAATTTCCAAATTTTCTAAGTCCTTTCTCGCATCTTCTGAGTTCGTCTGTAAATTTGTGATTTTCACTGCAAAATCTCCCTTTAAAAACCCAAATCTTTGTCATCTCTTTCTATTTTCAATCTTTAAATCCAAATGATGAAAACGTCGAAAACCGTTCCCCAAAAAGAAAGTGTTTCTTCTTCGTGGCCTGCCGGCGACAAAACACCGGTGGAGCCACAACCGGAGGAGTGCATTCCCCGGGGGGGTGTGTTCTTACTTCTGATTTTAAGATCGATAAAGTATCGCCGGTTCCTGTTCTATGTGAACCAGTATCGAGGTATATGTGCTCGATAACTAAGGGATACCTCGAGCAGTTAAGGAAAGATTGTAACCGGGAGAACAAAGAAGTGATAATCCTGGCTCCCGAAGAAGATATTACTACTTATGTGAAAAGGTTTTAAAGTGTGTATACTTACCCTTTCACGTTGGGCCCCCTCGATCCTGTTGTCATCGATTTTTGCTGCCAATACCAAATAACTCTAGGCCAAATCCATCCTTCTTTTTGGCGGATCGTTATTCTGATCCGTTTTTTTGTGAACAGAGTCGATGGGCTGCCTTTCACCCTCGACCACCTCATTAGATTGTACAGCCCCGCCTCTATCGAGGTGGGTTAATAAAACTCCAGTGCGGGGCTACTAAAGTGCTGTTCTCGAGCATAGACGAGGACAAAGACCAAGCCAGGATGGGCATGTTCATTCGAGTGAAGACTTTCGACCTAATTTTGGCCGAGAAAATTCCATTCCCCAAGGAATGGAACATGAAGCGTAAGTATAATTCTACTGTTAGCTCTTATTGTTTTGCTTCTTCGTTACTTTCTCACCGATATCATTTTCTGTGATGTAGCGGTTGCTTGGATGCCCATTGCAGTTCCTAACCTTAAGAGTTGGGTACGGGACCTGGCTTTGACCTCTTCATATGCCGAGCGCTCGTGGCGCGATTTATCAAAGGGCTTATGGGAGGCCAAAAATCATGGTAAGCCTCTTTTCCATGTCTTTGATGATTCGAACAAGATGCATTTCTTGTACTTAACCAATTTTATTGTGTGTAGGTCTGGGCAAAGATGCGGTTATGAGGCCCCCGTCTGGCGAGGAAAAGACTTCGGCCCCGGTTCCGAAACCGTCGAAGGGCAACAAGAGAAAAAGGGCATCTACTTCCTAAAATCCAGAACTTAAGACAAGCACGGCTCGTAAGCCGAGGAGGAAAACCATCCCTCTGTCCGAACAATTTGTTTCGTGTCTAAGGGATGAAGAAGAAGAAGAAGAAGAAGAAGAAACACGGCTCCATACTAGTGGCCCGAGTGAAGAAAACCGTCGATGCCCCAAAGGCAGCTGGATCGATGGTGGTTTATGAGGCTCTGCCTGGAACTGAGGGGATATCAAAGAAGGATTCGGGCCAAGTACCCAAGTCGTTGGAGATAGAGGATGCCTCCCACTGAAGTCAACAAATGGTGGATATATCTGAAGGGGCCGGCCCTGAACCTCTTCGAACCGAAGAGAACACCCTAAGTGATTCACTTGGGGCAATAGTACTTGGAGACTCGCCAACTCTCCCTGCTTTTTCTGAAGGGGCGATTCGAGAATCCCAAGCTTTGGGGATCCTCGAGGTAGACAGGTCTAATGAGGGAGAGGACCCTTTTCGTGATTATTTACCAGTATCGAGGATGTTGCCGGCCCTAGCGATGCATCGGGTCTTTTCCACGAAGTGCAACAGGCTCTGAATTGGGTAAGCCTTAACTCCCTTCGTTGGTACCACCTTTATGTTTGTTTTTCTTTTTCTAACTTCTGTTCTTCTTTTTTCGTAGGCCTCAGCGGTTCATCGAGAAGCATGTTTTTGGTCTCGAGCTGAGCTGAGTCGGTACGAGGCCGACCTTCGAAGGGTCATGGAGGAGAGGAATGCCTTTAAACTCCTCTGTGGGCAAAGGGAATAAGAAATCAAGGACCTCTGAGCCGAGTTGGCTAAGGCTCACCAAGACCAGACCGAGCTGACCGAATAGGTAATAAACATCTTTAAAACCCACGGGCTTGATTCGGGGATGATGGTTAATATTTTGATCTCAGAGCTGCAGCAGAAGCTTGAGGTGATCGGGCAGCTCCGTGAGGAGGTCGATGTGATAAAGGCAGAGTCCTTGGAGTGGAAAGAAGGTATGGACCGCCTTGCTGTAGAGAAAGAGGTTGATCGATCCCAATTATCATCGGTCGAAAGTCAACTTCAAGGCTTGAAGGAGAAAATCTTGGTTCAAGTAAGAAAAATAGAGGAGCTCGAAGCTCGATTGGCTTCCGAACTTGCCAAGGCCAAATCTGAAGCCAAAAGAGCAAAGGCCGATGCGGATGCATTTGTGGCCGTCTATCGGGCCGATGCTGAAGCCGCTCAGGTATAAGCGAGAGAGGCAGCCGAGACCACTAAAACTCGAGCACATTGGGTTGCTGAACTCGCCAAATGTCAATCTTGGAGGGAAACCCTCGAGGAGATCCAGGCTCAAGGTTTCGATCTTACCAAAGAGATAAAAAATGCTAAAGAGCTTGAAGCCGATGATGGAGCCTTGGCTTTCGATGATGATGATGATGGGAGCTTGAGTGGGTCTGAGAATGGGGAGGAGCCCGATTGAGAAGAGACTGCCCCCGGAGATAACCAGGAAACTTAGGGTTTTTCCCATTTTGATTTTTTGTGT